TTTTGGGTCTTACTAGAGATGACCCCCAGGTCAGGGGTTTTGAGGAGGGGCATCTGTGGGGCAGGGCTTGGCAGCAGTCAGAGAGGGCTGGTGAGCGTGGGCAGGTTCAGGAGAGCCTGGATGGGGTCCGACCATCGGTCTGGGTGTGGATCAAGTGTGTGTGAGATACAGAGAGTGGTGCAGAGGCTTCGGGGTTGGGGCTGGGAAATTGCCCAGGGGCGGGGTCCCACTTGCTGGGAGTGAGCCAGGCCAGTGCTGAGCTTCCCAAGCAGCCACTGGAGGCAAAGGACAGAAGGCCCCTCAGGCTGCTGGAAGTTGTGGGCTGAGCTGTGAGATGGGTGTCGGGTCGGGGTGGTGCCAGGGGCCTCTGAGCTCTGAGACCTGATGGTGAGCTGGTGGCTGTGCAGAAAGAGGGGGAAGGAAGGCTCTCCATGGAGAGGGGCCTCGAGGGCAAAGGCCTGAAGACAAAACAGGCCTGGACTTCTTGAGGGGCAGAGACCAATGCAGCTGGCACGGGAAGCAAGGGCAAGGGCAGGTCTGGAGGGAGGCAGGTCCCTGCTGGGCATAGAATAGAGAAGGGGTCTGGGCCAGCCTTTCCCTCCCTCTTGAAGACCTGTTTACCCAGCCAGGCCTCTGTCCACCCCACAGGTAAGCTTCCAGCACGAGGTATACCCAGCAGAGTCAGCCACAGGCCCCGCGGCCCCCGGCCAGACACTGGAGGAGCGGCCGCTGTCCCGCCAGGTGTTCATTGTGCAGGAGCTTGAGGTCCGAGACCGGCTTGCCTCCTCCCAGATCAACAAGTTCCTGTACCTGCACACGAGTGAGCGGATGCCGCGGCGTGCCCACTCTAACATGGTACGAGCAGCCTGCACTGTCCACCCTGGGGCAGGGCAGGGGATGTCGGGACAATCTTCACACATGGCCTGGATTCATACACGTACATGTTTGTGAGCCTGGGAGGAGGGCAGAGCTAGGGGCTGTGTTAGCAAAGGGAACAGTGTGTCCAGAGGCAGGGTGGCTGGGTGAGCTGTCAGGGAACAGCTGGGTGAGCTGCTGCCCCAGACGCCCAGCAGGCATCCATAGCTCACCCTCTGCTCCCAGCTCACCATCAAAGCGCTGCACGTGGCCCCCTCCACCAACCTGGGTGGGCCTGAGTGCTGTCTCCGTGTCTCGCTGATGCCTCTGCGGCTCAATGTGGACCAGGTGAGTGGTCCAAGTGAGGGTGGATTCCAGGGTGACCCCACTGTCTCCAGGCCTCTGAGTCTGATCTGTGCCTGGAACCCTCCCCTGCAGGATGCCCTCTTCTTCCTCAAGGACTTCTTCACTAGCCTGGTGGCCGGCATCAACCCCATGGTCCCGGGGGAGACGTCCACTGAGGGTGAGAGGCTGGGCCAGGGAGGGGAGTGTCCGGGTCTCCTGCCTCCCAGGGCAGCCCAGGTTCCCAGTCATCCCTGGCCCCACCTGCAGTCTATGACCTCCCCTCCCTTAGCTCGCCCTGAGACTCGAACCCAGCCCAGCAGCCCCCCGGAAGGACAGGCTGAGGGTATAGAGGCCTCCAGCTCGCAGGAAGCCCCAGGTGGTGGACATAGCCCCTCCCCTGCTGACCAGCAACCCATCTACTTCAGGTAGGCTGCCGGACTGTGGGTGGGGGGGCCCTGGGCCAGATTGCTGGGGGCTGGGCCAGTGAGCAAAGAACCCCCTCTTTCTGCTCCCCCACCCAGAGAGTTCCGCTTCACGTCTGAGGTGCCCATCTGGCTAGATTACCATGGCAAGCACGTCACGATGGACCAGGTGGTAAGTGGGGCCGTTGGATGGGGTGGCCATGTGGGGTCAGCTGTGGCCGTGTCCCTCTGGGGGCCAGGTTTTGCATCAGGCACCATCAGCGGCCAGGACGGTCTTCAGTGGCTCCCATGGGCTGGCTGGCTCCCTGAGTCCCATCGGGTAAACCCAGACTCCTCCCTCTCCCAGGGTACTTTCGCTGGCCTCCTCATCGGCCTGGCCCAGCTCAACTGCTCCGAGCTGAAACTGAAGCGGCTCTGTTGCAGGCACGGGTGAGTCCCCAGCGCCCCAGCCTCTCTCCAGGGTCCCTGATCTTCCCTCTATTCTGGTCCTGACTGGTTGTGTGGCCTTGGCCAAGTCATTGCCCTTCTCAGGGCCTTAGTTTCTTCCTGTAAAAAGGACACAGTCAGCTGGGTGTGGTGGCTGATGCCTGTAATCCTAGCACTTTGGGAGGCCAAGGCGGGTGGATCACAAAACAAGGTCAGGAGTTTGAGACCAGCTTGATCAACATGGTAAAATCCCATCTCTACTAAAAATACAAAAATTTGCCGGGCGTGGTGGCACATGCCTGTAATCCCTGCTACTCAGGAGGTTGAGGTAGGAGAATTGCTTGAACCCAGGAGGTAGAGGTTGCAGTGAGCTGAGATTGAGCCACTGCACTCCAGCCTGGACAACAGAGCAAGACTCCATCTGAAAAAAAAAAAAAACACGGTCCCTGTGCACATAACTGGGTGGGAACCATGGGGAGAGTAGACGTGCCCACAGTACTTGCCACAGGGGTACTCAGTCCTCCTGGCCCCACGATCCCTCCATATGTGGCTCTGCCCCACTTCCCACCTCCTCACCTCCCTGCCCTGCCAGGCTCCTGGGTGTGGACAAGGTGCTGGGCTATGCCCTCAACGAGTGGCTGCAGGACATCCGCAAGAACCAGCTGCCTGGCCTGCTGGGAGGCGTGGGCCCCATGCACTCAGTTGTCCAGCTCTGTGAGTATCTGGGTTTGGAAGCCCTCAAAACTGCTTTTACCCTTGGGCAGCCTAGAAACTGCCTTTGGGAACAAGAAGAGTAGGTGGGGGCGGCGCAGCCTCGGGAGTCTCTGACTGCTCCTTCCCCCAGTCCAAGGGTTCCGGGACCTGCTGTGGCTGCCCATTGAGCAGTACAGGAAGGATGGCCGCCTCATGCGGGGGCTGCAGCGAGGGGCCGCCTCTTTTGGTTCATCCACGGCCTCTGCCGCCCTGGAACTCAGCAACCGGTTGGTACAGGCTATCCAGGTGAGCAGGTACCCTGCGTCCAGGCTGTGCAGGGCAGAGCAGCTGGAGCCCGCTGCTCCACAGCTGCCTGGTTCTATCCTCAAAGCTCTTCTGAGAGTGGGCAGTCTGGGTCTGACAGCCCTACTTTATAGAGAAACAGCCCCAGAGAGGCTAAGTGACTTGCCTGGTGGGACCTCCAAGCCAGGTCTCCCAAGACCCACAGGGGCTCCCATGCAGGATCGGGGCACCCCCCAGGCCTTTGGAGCCCACTGTGTTTCCTGCTCATGGCATGTCTTACAAAGGGGTGAAAGATGTTTCAGGGGAAGCATCTGAGGCCCAAGAGGCTGCCCTGGTTCATTGAGGCCGTGGACTTCCCTAGGCCAGAGGGGCCCCAGGGAAGCTGGGGAGCCAGTCTCATGGACAGTTGTCAGATGAATTCTGTAGGGGGTCGATGGTCCTAGTAGGCTAAGGGGTGAGTGCACGTGCGTGGTGCATTCTGGAACCTGCAGGCTCAGACCCCAGCAGAGCAGACGGCAGGGCTTGAGGGGAGGCCGGAGGGATGCGTGCACACCTGGGAGCCCCCAGGAGTGTTTAGCTGGGTGGAAAACAGTGACGCCAGGTGAGCTGCCGGGCAGAGGATCCGGCAGTCGGAAGGAAGGATGGGCTCCCTGGCCGTCCGGCAGGGGCTTCCGGGGGCCCAGGCAAGGAGTGGTCAGTCTCAGGTAAGCCGCAACTGTGGCGGCGGTGTGGTGCCCGCTGGATGTGGCGGTCAGCAGGAAGAGAGGTTTGGGTTGAGAAGACTTTAGAAAAGTCCCCTGAGGAGTCCCATGTTCCTGGAATTCCCTGAGCAGAGTGACGGGTGTCTAGGAAGGAGAGGAGGAGTGGGAGGAAGTGGGGAGCGAGGCTGAGTAGGACCCCCAGGGGCAACACAGTGACAAGCGGGGAGGCCGAGGGCAGGTGGGGTCTCACACTGCCCGGGGGGGCTTGGGACTGACATGTGTGCCCTAGCCAGCTGTCATCATCCAGTGCTTCCATGTCCCCCAGGCCACAGCCGAGACCGTGTATGACATCCTGTCGCCAGCAGCCCCCGTCTCCCGCTCCCTGCAGGACAAGCGCTCTGCACGAAGGCTGCGTAAGGGCCAGCAACCTGCCGACCTGCGGGAGGGCGTGGCCAAGGCCTACGACACAGTGCGAGAGGTGACCAGGCCCCCCACCCCATCCCCCACACCCCTCTCCTTACGCAGACCCTGCCCTGACCTCTGGTCTCCACAGGGCATCCTGGACACAGCTCAGACTATATGTGATGTGGCATCACGGGGCCACGAACAGAAGGGGCTGACAGGCGCCGTGGGGGGTGTGATCCGCCAGCTGCCCCCGACTGTGGTGAAGCCGCTCATCCTGGCCACGGAGGCCACGTCCAGCCTGCTCGGGGGCATGCGCAACCAGATCGTCCCCGATGCCCACAAGGACCATGCTCTCAAGTGGCGCTCGGACGGTGCCCAGGACTGAGCCTAGGGTGCCTGGCACCCAGAGGGTGCTGCCCACCGTGCTCCTGAGCCTCCCAAGAGCTGCAGCACACAGGCCCGGCCCAGCCCTTCAGGGCATGGCCACTGTGAAGGACGCCTTCCCACCTGCCCGTTGCCAATCTGCTGTGAGAGGCGGGCCTCCCTGCCTTTGGGCCTTGGCCCTGGCTCTGCACTTTTCCTCCGGGGAGAAAGGACACTGCCCCTCCCTCCTACCTGGGCCTACACCGCTGCCTTGTCCCAGGACGGAGGCTTATGGACCCTCAGATTCCAACCCTACTCAGCCAAGTGTTTTTCTGTGTCTGTGGGGAGGAGAGGGGAAGACATCCATGTGGTTCAATGTATTATTTTTAAGGTCTGTGAGCGCGTGGGTCAGTGTCTGCATGAAGTGGAATAAACTGCCCACCGCAGCCCCTCTCAGATCCTGTCCCTGTGAGCCCTAGTCTCAGCCTTGACCTTGATTCCGCCCCGGATCCCACCTCTGCACCCAGCACCTCCCATGTCACCACCAGGGGTCGCCACGCCTCCCAGCCTTGCCCAGCAGGTCAGGGCACAGGGGGACCCAGAGGCACCCAGCCCTGCACACTTCCCCTTGGCTCTGGGCTTTGCCTTGCCCCTCCCAGCGGGCTGCCACCCCAGCTCCACTCCTGATGTGGCAGAAGCTACGTGGAGCTGCCAGGGAGGGAGGGATGGTCCTTGGAGCCCATCTGCCCAGACCGCATTGGCCCGTGTCTCTGTAAGACCCCATGGTCCAGCCTGACCCCAGGGCCAGAGCAAAGGACAGGGCTGTGGGGACGCCAGGCAGGCTCCAGCCCTGACTATGGGACCTGATGTGAAACCCTGGTTCCCTGAGCCTTAGTCCTTCCTGGTTCTTCCTGCCCAGCCAACCCTGCCTGGCTGTCACATGAGGCCACTCCTGGGAGGCTGAGCCTGGGGCCTTCTAGAGGTTGCTCCCACCATCCCTAGTGGAGGCTTTTGGGGTGGTCCAGGCCTTGGCCCCTCAGCTCCCACTCTTCTCCCGGGTCCCAGCTCCAGCACTTGGAGGGGGAGGGGTGCTGGAGCAGTGCTGCAGCCAGAATCCCAGCCCCCAATGCACAAAGCTTTACATGGGACCAGGGAGTGGCCATTGCGCCCACACATCGTGTTTCTTGTGAGCAAAAAAGGAGCTGCTCCCATCACGCTCCTTCCTGCCCTGCTTCCCAGGAGTGCTGCAGGGAGGTTGGGCAGGTCCATGGGGAAACAGGCTCGGACTGGGAATCGAGGGACCCTCACCTTGCTAGGTTCTGCAGGCCTCTGGGATTAGCAAAGGTCCCCCAGCCCCCCTCTGTGGCCCCTCCTGAGTAGGAGAGATCTGGGCACTGGGGACAGAGCAGAAGCTTTGTCCTCAGGGACCCTGGGGTCCTGGCTGCCCATGGAGACCTGGGGCAGCAGGCTGGCAAGAGATCAGGAGGGCGAGGCCCTGGAGGAGACAGGGCTGTGGATGACTGGGTGCTAATGGCACACAAGAGGCAGATGGGGCCCAGCCTGATGCTTCCTGGACCCGCCCTACCCTGCCCGGGCACAGTCCAGGGCTTCCTGCCCTTCGAACCACACTTGTGATCAGTATTGACAGGGGTGGGATAATCATTAACCACCACTACGGGTTGGGTCAACGGCTCAAAAGGCCCTGGGCCGAGGGCGTCCCCACTTCCTCCTTGTGCCCTGAGGGCCAGCTCAGCACCCAGGTAAGAGGCTTCCTGAATGAAGGACCCCTGCTGCACCCCCTGTCCTAGGAGGCTCCTGAGCCCAGGCACCTCACTGAAGGGTGGCCAATCCTGAGGAAGAAAGGGAACTGGACAGCCATGGGGTGGCCAGGACGAACCCCTTCCTCTCTGTGCCTTGGTTTCCACTGTGGGATGCGGGGGGCCTTAGGATCAGCACTCAGAGCTGCCCCATTCTGTGGAGCCAGGATTCCGGATCGGGTGCTGCCTCTGCCAGGACAGGGCACTTAGCCCACACCGCAGGAGACTGGTCTCACCCAGGCCGCTGTGGGAAGGGCAGCCAGGCTGAGTGAAAGGCCAGCCACCAGCTATGGTGTCTTCCTTTGCAGGCCTGTCTCCCCAGGCAGAAGGACTCCAGCCCAGTGATCCCCCATCCCACTCCTACTGCATCCCGAGAGGGAGGGCACCACTTGGGGGAGATGTTGGAGCAGCACAGGCCCTGAGGCCCTGCTCTGTGACCTTGGGCGGCCCCCTTTGCCTCTCTGGGCCTGTAACCACCACTGGCAAAGGGGGGCAGGGCCCAAGTCTACTCTGAAAGCTCTCCTCTCTCTCCAGAAACTTTGGAGTCTCCCAAAACGCTGCTGAGTCTCTGCAGGACTGGCATCGGTCACGGGAACTTGTCTGGGAGGGACGAGAACATGCTTTGCAGAAGGAAGCTCTGCCTCCCAGAGTCCTGGGCTTGCTTGGGCACCCCAGTCAGCAGCTGCTTCCACTCCCCACAGTGGAGACAGACCCAAGGGTCCCAGGGCAGATGCTTCCCCCAGTCCAGGCCAGCGTGCAGGGTGAGCTCGTAAGTCCTGATTGACATACGGTCAGTGGTTCAGAGAGGTTATACTACTTGCTCAAGGTCACCCAGCTCCCAGGCCCCTGCTGTCTTCCCAGCCACTGAGTCCTAAGCGTCCTTCCAGGTGGGCCGCTGCTCACAGCCTGTTCTCACATTCAGCAGCAGGTTTGTGTATCCACATCTCCAGTTCCCTGTCGCCCCCGCTTCCTACACCTTGCCATCCACTGTCCCTGTTTGTTTTCTCTGTTCCTTTCCAGTTCTCTCCCTGCTCCTCTTAATTTTTTATTTGAGACAGGGTCTTGCTCTGTTGCCCAGGCTGGAGTGCAATGGCACAATCACAGCTCAGTGCAGCCTTGATCTCCCAGGCTCAAGTGATCCTCCTGCCTCAGCCTCTTGAGTAGCTGGGACTACAGGCATGCATCACCACACTGGGCTAATTTTTTATTTTTTGTAGAGATTGGGGTCTCAATGTGTTGCTTGAGCTGGGTTTGCACTCCTGGGCTCAAGAGATCCTCCTTCCTTGTCCTCCCAAAGTGCTGGGATTCCAGGTGTGCCCGCCCCTCTCAGCCCCTCCGCCTCACTGTCCCTCTTTCTGTGCCCCCACCACAGCCCCCACACTTCTTCTCTTCTCAGTCTTATCTTCAGCTTCCCATACAGGGCCATCCTCATGAAACTGGACACTGGGAGGTCCCTGGAGACTGACAAGTGCCAGCTGTCCCTTGCTATCCCTCTGGCCCATGGCTGCAGCAGGGAGGGTGGGCAAAGGGCAAAGGGCAGAGGCGACAGTGGCCAGACCTGAAACTCAGGCCCAGCTCTGGTTGGGAAAGAAACAAGGAAACAAGAACTTGGGGACAGAGGGCGTGGGGGCACCAGAGCGGGCAAAGGCTGCCCAGGAATTGTAAATCAGAGCCGCTCCCGGCTTTATGAGGCCGATTTGGGGTTGAGCCTGGACTTCGCCCAGAAAGGAGTGCTGACAGCACATGGGATGCCAGGTGTGGGCCCCGGATGATAAGAAGCCTCAGAGAAAAGACCATGGACCTGGGGGCATGAGGACTGTGCACCTAGGGGAGCAGGCGTGGGACACTCTCCACAGCCCTACCCAAGGCGGATGCCAGGCAGGGCCCAGCCTCCAGTTGGCTCCCACCCCCTGTAACAGCAACTCCATGTGGAAGTGCCCACTGATTCCAGTGGGGCTGCTGTTATCTGGGGCGAGGGCTGGTACTCACGAAGGAGAGGCAAGCACCGCCCAGCAGACCAACCCGAACTGCAGTGGCGACGCTCCCAGGCGAGATGGTGTTGGAGGGTGGGGGGCTGTCGGCGCGGGGTGGGGGGCTGTCGGTGGGCTGCCGAGACCGAGTGCACAAGGCTCTGACCTATGAATTGACAGCCAGTGCTCTCGTCTCCCCTCTGGCTGCCAATTCCATAGGTCACAGGTATGTTCGCCTCAATGCCAGCCGCCAGGACCTGCAGGGGTAAGGGCGGGCCAGGGGTGTCCAGTGGTCAGAGAGACCCTGCGACCCCAGTGCAGCACTTATGGTCCCACCTCCCGCTGTCTCATTCCCCGAGATGAGCCCGAACAGCTTTAGTCCTGGCCCTGCGCTGCCTGCCCTGTAGTGACTCTACGCTTTGCCCGTGCCATTCCCTCCACGGCTCTAGGCTTCGTCCGAGCCGTTCCCTCCGTGGCTCTACGCTTCGCCCGTGCCGTTCCCTCAGGCTACGACACTCTTCCTAGCTTATTTGTCAAGCTCGCTCTTACTAACTCTTTCAAGCTCCACCCAAGCATTTGCTGCCTCTAGAAGGCCTTCTTGAAGCTTACAAGTGCCCACCTGGGCCCCCCACACTATGCTGCCCCCCAGAGCAGCCCCCCACAAATGCTGCCCTCCCAAAGCCCTGGAGCTGGTTCTGCTTGTGTCTCGGTCCTCGCGCCATCTGTGACCTCAGTTCCCAGGCCAGGTGCATGCTCAATAAATGTTTGCTGAACCAAACTGAGCCTCTATCTTGCACCCTGAGGAAGCACTCAGCAACATGCAGTGTGGCCAGGGTTGGGGCTGAGTACTCTGGGCCCAGTGTTTGTGCTGGAGCCCCCCACCCAGGACAGGGGCCCTGAGCCAGCCCCGCCATCTGCTTCCCCCTCTCCCCTCCCTTGCCAGCCTCATCTTCCTGGAGTACAGCCCTGTGGTTGGTGGAGCAACTTCTCCAGCCCCTGGGATTCCTAAGAAGACCCAGGAACCCCGCTGCTGGTAGAGGGGGAGCAGCCAACCCAGGACAGGACAGCTGACCCCACCCCTGCCCCACCTCCCACACCAACAACCTCATTCCCACCTGCTGCTGCTTTTTTTTTTTTTTTCTTTGAGACGGAGTCCCGGTCTGTTGCCCAGGCTGGAGTGTAAAGGCACGATCTCAGCTCACTGCAATCTCCATCTTCGGGTTCAAGTGATTCTCCTGCCTCAGCCTCCCAAGTAACTGGGATTACAGGCGTGAGCCATCACGCCCAGCTCCACCTGTTTCTTATACAAAGGGGTTCTGGGGAAATTTTCCTTTTTTTTTTTTTTTTTTTTTTTTTTTTTTTT